AAACAACTACTGGGGTTTGGATTTGCAGAGGGAAAAATGACAGACAATGGCGGTGGGTAAGAGTTATGGTTTTGGGTGGGTGGATGAGGGTGGGGGGTGCGGGGAAGATGAAGACAGGTTAAAACATTATTTATTTATTTATATTTAATTTAATAATATTTTTGTGCATTTTGTTTATACAAAATTGAAATAGATTTACAATTAAACATAATGAAAACAATTTCAACATGTAATATAACAAATCTTCTTTGGGTATTTTAGTCTTTTTATTGCTGGTCAAAGGGGAAACGATAAATGGGTTAAGTGTGCAGTCTAAATGTAAGCATAGGGGGGTATTTGATAATTTTTTTATTACAGGGGGGAGTCGCGCAGTTGCTATTTTCACATGGGTAGTAAATGCAATTAACTCCATAGATTACTGTGACTTTCTGTGCATGGGTGGCGGCCAAGGTTCAAATAGGGGCTAGGGTTTTCAATGTATGTGAGTAGGAATGACTATGAGTCACTACAGACTACTATGAGTTTCTATGGGTTTCTATTTTCTATGAGTATCTATAGATACTACAATCGAAAAAAATTAAAAAAAAAATCTTTTCATAATTTTCAATAATATGCAGATTAGGTTTTTATAATAGTGAACAAATACTAAAAATGAAAAAAACAAGTGTTCTTCTTAAAAAAAAAAAAAAACTAAAAGTAACAAGAAGGTAGGTCTAAAATTGAAAATATTAAATACAAAATAAAAAATGATAAATGTTGTTTTAAGATTACTTGGTGCAACTTTCCTTTTTTGTAAGCAAAGGGCAACTTTGGAATTAATTTTATGAAGGATGATGTGAACCAAATGTTTAGTTGGACTTGTCATTTAGTTATAATAAATTGTCACCAGTGACCTATATCTTAAAGCCCCAGGTGAAAATAGAAAAAAAAAATGTTACATAAACAAAAAATGGATTCAATAGGTAAAAAAATGAATTACTCAAGTACATAAGAAGTTTTGTATCATTCCAGTCAATTGTGTATCCTAAAATTCATACTTCAAAATATATTTCCAATATCTTTTACTTGATATTTTTATTTTAATTATCATTTTGCTACCTTGGAACATCATTTTTTGTGAAATGTCTTATTTCAATTTGTATAATTTACTTTCTTTTTTTTCTTTTTTTTTTTTTTAGAGTTACTTAAACTTTATCAGACCCAATGTTATTTTTATTACCATAATTTAAATGGTAATCCGAATATCCGAGGATATCCGGATATTGGTGGTAATGGTTCTGATATTCGGACAAAAGATTTAAATGGTTTTAGTATGGTTCTGGTTTGAGCTATATTAAAAGGGGATGGTAGTGGTATTACACTTTTTTCGAGGGTACCCGCTCCGCTGTAATCCATAGTCCTTCATATAAAACGTGGTCACGGTCCTAACATACTTACGACCCATGAGGTCTAACAAGGGGCACAATCCCTATTCAAAAATCTGGAGAGACTGATCCACCCATTAAGTACATCACGCAGAATGCTAAATGTAAACACATACAAGCAACACGCCAAACCAATGGCAATGTCAAACAATATAAACCTTAAACGAAATAGTAGTGGCCATACCCATCTACTCCAAGTATGAAGACATATTGAAGAACCTAAAATTTTGCGCCGTACCCTCCCTCGGAGAGCGCACATGCACCTCGATTCGTGCGCCCCCTCGGTGCGTCCGCCTCCTAACACCCAAAAATATATAAAAAAAAAAAAAAACAAACCCGCGCGTGTTGGCCACGACACACACACACACACACACACACACACATATATATATATATATATATATATATATATATATATATATATATATATTTGATCCCATTATCTAATTGGGATTAATTGAAAATAAGTTTCCGAAAATAAAAATCAATTTGTTCTAAGTTTAATTTTAGTAATCTGATTTTTTTTTTCAGTGAACCGGTTCGGACCGAAACAGTCCGGTTCTGCCCGGTCCAGTTGATCCAAATCAGTGGACCGGGTCAGTCGGACCGAGAACCGGTCTGACCGACCCGAATCCACGCGGATTCGGTCAATTGGATCGCACACAACCATCGAACCGGTCAGTTCGACCGGTTCGATCCGAATAATTAAAAACCGATGTTTTAAAAATAATTTCAGATCCGATTTTCCAATTTTAAACATTTTTAAAGCTGGAAAAATTCTAAACAATATTTGAAAAATATTTTAAACTTTCGAAAACTCCCAATTACATAATATAACAATCGCTACTTTAATAAATCGAACATGTATAAAAATCATAGCATATTAAAAACGCAATTAATTGCGCAACGATCTTTGATACCACTGTTGGGAATCAGACACGTGTACGCAGTGGAAAACAAAAATTTTACGTGATTTAAACAAACTTAAAACACATAAACGCATGCCCGGTAATTGAAAACAATTAATTGCGTACCTTTGCGCTTCCGGCGAAATTAAAAACAACATAAAATCAACTAGCATGCTCGCGTTTAAATCAAATAATCATGCTCACACTAAATAAACAATTTCATGTAGTCACATAAAATCATACAAGTTTCATACTAGAATGAACATGTATATTCAATTTAAATAAAACCGAATCTAACGACAATGGATTCGAAGTTTTACCTCTTGAAGCGTGAGGTATGCGCACTAAACAAAGCTAGATTGCCACGGAAACCAATCCGTGCAATCCTGGGCAGCAACGGCATTGCAGCAGCGGCGATGATCCGAGCTACGGCGGCGCGTGTGGTTCACGCACTGTCTTCCGGCGGCGCGTGGAGGTGCATGCGTCGTCGGCTCGGTGGGGCTGCTTCTCGATTCTTCGATCTTTGATCTTCCTCCTCTCGGATTTTACCTCGTATACTTCGATCTACTAAAACGTGGCACTAGACATGAAGTAGTTAGAATAAAACGGAAATAATGAAAGGAAAAATATCTACAAATAGGATCGGCCAAGGGGTGGCCAATTCTGGCGAGTTGGCGGCGGCGACGGCGGTGGTGGCCGCGGGAGAAGGTGGCCGATATTGAGAGGGAGCAGCTAGGGTTTCGTGTGTGAGTTGTTTTTTGACGAAGACCTATAAATCAAGTATTTATAGTATCTTTTATAAAACCCTAACGGGCTTAAGTTGGACCGGGCCCAACAACTTAAGTTCGTTAGTTCTTTTACTCGCTCGTCTCTCTCAATTCGATGATCGAAAAATTGTAACAGTTACTTTTTCGGAATCATTATAATGTCCTCGTCATTACGAGTGCCAATTCTCAATTTCCAACTTTCTAAAAGTGGAAACCCCAATTCAGTGCACTCTCTAAATTTGGAAACTTTCCGATTTCGAAAGTCCACTAAGATGTTTGCCTATTCTTTTTTTTTCTTATTCTCATTCATAATTCCAAATTACGAATGTTGGACCCAATCATATTGACCTCCAATCATGCTAAGATAAACCATTTTTACCTTTGACCGTTTATTCAAAGATCTCATGTGCACGAGTGACCCTCGATGGTTCAGGTGTAAGCTAGCCGTGGGCCCACAACCCTTTGTGGTCAAAACTCGTCCCTTAGAGTTACGATTAAGATAAAACTCGGTTCACCTGAATCACCCAACGAGTCAAGATTGGCGTCTAGAAACTACACGTCATGATTCCCTAGATACAAATGAAGTTCCTACAAGAACCTTCTGATATAATTATCGTACAGTACGATCCCTTCGATTCATATGTCCCGATTGAACTAGAGGCATTGGTTCATCAAGACCTCTTTATTTGTTCAATGACGGTGCGATCGTTCTAAGTGTCGTAATCGTTACGTGCATGACTTAGAGAATCGAATTCTCTAATCATCACTTAGTCAGCTCTGGCCAGAGACTTAGAAAGATTACAAACTATAAGAACACACAGGACATCTAAGACTATTCTAGCGATTGAATCCCCGACTACAATGCACAGACCTCCCACTAGATTTCGGACTGCAAGAATACTGGCCCTTGGGGTGGTCCTCGGTGGAACTCAGGGACAGGCCACGATACAGCTGGTCCACTAGTGAAGTCACAGTGATGTCTAGGTCATAAGGACTAATGGTGTACAACTATACCGTAGATATCTCTACTCGAATATTGGGAACCACTTAGAGATTTCTAGGGTGAGGGAGTTCAATGAACTCGTCAACTTACGAGCACCCACTTATGCATACCGATATCACAATACCGTTTACTGATGAGATGCAGTATGCATACACTAAGTGCTAGTCTCTTAATGGGAAAGGACGATATCCTCATTGGTGGCGTAACCCTTCGACTAGGAACACGTTCAACAGTTATAATACTTAAGTAAATATCTCACGGTCCTAACGATCAATTACTAGTACTTGTAATAACTGTAAGGACTACATCTATGCTTGTGACAAAGGGACAAAGATATAGAATGCCAAGGTGTTTTATCATTAATACGAAAAATGTTTGTTTATTACCATAATAAATATGAAAGACCACAGCCACATGTTGGCTTGTTGGCCACCTACTCTAACATATAGAAACGCCAAATTTTTTCATGCCCGAGCGGCGAGTAGGAAGAAACATAACCAGGTGGATACATTACGTGACGGGTTTGGCTATTGGCAGTGTTCTGAGGCCGGGATTGTGCACTACTAGAAAATCACGATTTAGCGATGGATATATCCGTCACTAATTCATTTAATCCGTCGCCAAAATATAGTTATCGACGGATTTAGGCCGTCGCAAATGCCATCACCAAATCCGGCCTCGCTAAATTTAGAGACAAACAACAAAAATCCGTTGCTAACATATCTTCGAACATATCCGTCGCTAATGCATAATCAGACGTCGCTAAAACTTGACGAGTGATATTTGAGCAGTGATGGCCATGTCCGTCGCTAATAGAAATTTTTACGTCGCTAGTGTTTGTAGCAAAATCCGTCGCTGCATCCGTCGGAAAATGAATTTTCAAAATTTTGTAAAATAAAATATAATTATAAAATATCAAAATTAACACTTACGAATTTTCTTTTATATTCTGAAACTGGAATTGATCCTCCTGTATGCAACGAGGGACCTAAACCATCATGACTTGAGTTTCTGTTATCAGAATTAATTTCCGATTTATCTTTAAACTTTTGGGTGTTCCAATAAGCCAACAACTCATTCCAATGATTCTGATTGATCCACTTCGGTATTATATTTTTCTCATGAAATTGTTTTCTCGCTTTATTCAAACTATTGCTCAAACTTACACTTCCTTTATGTTCAAAATGTCTTCTTATTGTCGTGTGGTCTTCCGCGGGCCAATAGTACAACTTCTGCATGTATTCAATATAAATAATACATAAATAATTTTCAAATCATGACCGACAATGAATATTATATTATTTTTAAAGAGAATTCAAAGTAATGAGAAGCTCAAAAATGCAAGACATGTTTTGTGAAATATTAATTAGACAAACTAAAGTATTCAAGATTATACCAGACTATAAATTATTGTATTGCACATATATATAATCTTATATTACTATGACAATCACCTTCCACGCTATCATATTCAGCCTACTATCACTTCGAAAAGAAAATGCATATACAGTATGTTGAGGTACACTTAGAAAATTCACTCAAGAAAAGTGCATAAACATAAAATGCAGCTTCAACTCAACACCAGTAATTACTCAATAACTAGTTGTAGAATTTTTTCCATCTAAAGTGAACATACCTCAAATTCATTAAACCAACGGTCTCTAACATAATCCGGTACCTTCTTCCACGTAGGCCATGAACCACTGAATGCTCTTTTGAATATTGCAACCAATTTTCTCGTAGCACTTGAAGGATCAAAGCTGTTAAATAAATCAAAAATATTTATGTTAACACAATATATATTTATTAAATAAAGTGATCAAAGTTTACCTATCTCTGTCGACTTTCAATAAAATTCGTCTGGTAGCAATTCTTTCTTGTGAGATAGTCGTTTGTGAATCCCCAACTTCTCCTTGTTGTGAAGAAGGTGTTTGTGATGAACTACCACGATGTATGCGCTTGAAACCTCCTCTCGCCATTTCGGTCAACTAACAAAGAAACAAATAAAGGGATATTAAAGTATTTATGCATATCAATTTATACAATGCCATTGAAAAATAAAACACAAAATTCGAAATTAAAAAATATGGATGCAAAAAATTAGATTGTATACAAGAACCACAAGATTATATTATATATAAACAAAGGAAATTCGAAAAATGAAACGAATGTAGCTTAAATAAAAAGTTATGGTACGTCTCTACATAAATGAATATAATAAAAATATGAGGTAAAAAATAAATGAAAGTTGAACTATTCTTCTTCTGTGTCATCGTCATCTTCCAAATCTTCGTTGCCTTCAGATATGTCGCTTGGAGACTCAAAATTGGATTCATCGATGTCGTCCCTATCTATATCATGATCCACAATTATGTGTTCTTCACCCTCATCCCCAACACTGTGATAAGCAAGTTCATCATTTATGATTGGTTCTACTGGCATTGTCATCTCATCTTCTTGAAAAGCTGTGTCGGGTAACTCAATTGTGCTTCTAGCATTTATTTTACATACTGCTCTCCAATCCGCTTTATCCCTTCTCTTAACATGGTATTCAGCAAAGTATACTTGTTGGGCTTGAGAAGCCAAGATGAAAGGTTCATACTTCATGAATTTTCTTTTGAAATTAATATCAACTAAACCATATTGATTATGTACTCTCCAACCTCTACCACTAGTGGGATCAAACCAATCACACTTAAAAAGTACAACCCTTGTTCTTCCAAGAGAAGGATTAGAATATTCTAATTCAATAATATCAATCAATGTGCCATAGTAGTCACTTTCAAGCTCGGCATAACTTGTTCCTTTAATGCAAACACCACAATTCATGGTTGCTTTATTTGAACCATATATTTTTGTGTGGAATTTATAACCATTTACGTTGTACTGCGGCCATGTATGAACTTCTCTAGAGGGACCAAAAGCTAAATCTTTCACTCGATTATCAATGATTTCATTGCGACCATCAAAAACCTATTAGTGTACCATGAAAAGTCAATTTATTTTCATGTATAATATTGAAGATATAATCAGATAGACTTTATAAGTTATGAAATAGAATATTACGTATGATTTTAACCACGCTGCAAACTCGTGATTTATTCGATCTTCTATATCTTTCGGAGTCAAGTTGGGTGATATTGTAGTTATTTCATCCTAAAAAATACTGTTATGGACAAATTATAGTTAGATACTTATCACATGCATTATTTTAATTAAAATTAAATAAAGTAAACTTACTTCACAAATGGTTCAATCTCTGCACAATTCAATAAAACGTATATAGTGGCAGCATTGAACTCTTCATCTCCCAAGTACCGCACGAGCTCATATCCAGAAGGACGACCTGGATGAGTAAAGATAGACAAAGATCCATCAGGAGCATCAACCTCGCCTCCCTCATCATGACGACCAACAGTGGTTAGCTTAGTTTGAATATGAGGTTCAAAATAATGAGAGCAAAAAGTCGAAGTTTCTTCAATCAAATATGCTTCACAAATAGAACCCTCAATACAAGCTTTGTTGGTTACTTTCTTCTTTAAATGGTGCAAAAACCTACGATGTTTAATGTCATAAATTGGTGTATAATATACAATAATTAATATAATTAAAATTTAAATAAGTACCGTTCAAATGGGTACATCCACCGATATTGCATCGGACCCCCAACACTAACTTCATAAGGCAGGTGAATTGGCAAATGTTCCATGGAGTCAAAGAAACCAGGAGGAAATATTTTTTCCAACTTGCATATGGTCACTACAATGCTCTCTTCCAATTTTTTTATATTTTTAATCTGCAACTCTCTTGAGCATAAGCCTTTGAAAAATAAACTTAGCTCGGTCAATGCATTCCAAACTGATTCAGGCAACAAATCTTTAAATGCAATTGGGATTAATCTTTCCATCCAGACATGACAATCGTGACTTTTCAATCGAGATACTTTCAAATCTTTCATGTCCACACATTTTGCTAAATTCGAGGCATACCCATCGGGTAGTCTAAGGTTTTTAACCCATTCACATACCAACTTTTTTTGATCCTTTGATAATGAGTAAACTGCTTTTGGTACAAAAACTTTTCCATTTCGCTTCCTCAATTCAAGATCTGGACGATGGCAAATGATTTTCAAGTCCTTTCTAGCTTTGATGTTATCCTTGGACTTGCCCTTAAAATCCATAATTGTATTGAAAGTATTATCAAACACATTTTTCTCAATATGCATCACATCTAGATTATGTCGAATGAGGTGTGCATGCCAATAAGGCAATTCCCAAAATATGGATTGTTTTGTCCAATTATGATTCTCCCCAAATCCAGGAAGTTTTTCATGCCCAATTCTCCCCACTATCTTTGGTAAATTGCGCACCTTTCCCCAAACATCTTCGCTAGACAACCTTGCTGGAGCCATTGCCTTCTCCACACTCCCTTTGCGGAAAGATTTCTTATCTTTTCGAAAAGAATGATTCATGGGTAGAAATTGACGATGGCAATAAAAAAATGTTGGTTTCCTACCCTCTTTCAAGTAAAATGACTTGTTGTTCTCCATACACACAGGACATGATAAAACACCATGTGTGCTCCATCCAGATAACATTCCATACGCTGGAAAGTCATTAATGGTCCACATAAGTGCAGCTCGCATTAGAAAATTTTGTTTCCTAAATGAATCATAGGTTTCTACTCTCACATCCCACAATTCTTTCAACTCATCTATGAGAGGCTGCAAATATAGATCTATGTTCTTACCGGGACTTTTTGGCCCAGGGATAACGAGAGTCAAGAACATGTAAGGGGTTTTCATACACATTCCAGGTGGAAGGTTGTACGGAGTAATGATTACTGGCCAACAAGAATAAGGATGACTCTTTTGTCCATATGGACTAAATCCATCGGATGAAAGAGCTAATCGAACGTTGCGTGGCTCGGAAGAAAATAAAGGATAAGATTCATCAAAGCTCTTCCACGCCTCCCCATCACACGGATGCCTCATCGTCTCACTTTCTTGACCGTTTCTTTTGTGCCATATCATATGTTCAGAAGTTTTAGAAGACAGATATAATCTCTGAAGTCGTGGTGTGAGAGGAAAGTACCGCAAAATCTTATGAGGAATGTCTTTTTGTTTTTTATCACCTCTTCTCTTAGGTTTATATCGAGAGTGACCAAAAATAGGACATAAGTTCAACTCCTCATTTTCTTTATAATACAAAATACATTCATTTACGCACACGTGTATCTTCTGATAGCCTAAACCGAGTTTTCTAACCATTTGTTTAGTCTTGTAAAAATCATTAGGTAATTTGGTATCATCTGGTAATAGCTCTCTCACCAGCTGCAATATTCGATTAAAGCATGCTTGACTCATATTGAACTCGGATTTAATGTTTAACAACCTTGCCATCACTGATAATGGGGTATGGGATTTACACCCTTCATAAAGTGGTTCTTCTGTAGCCTTAAGCAATTCATAAAATTTCTCAGCAACGCTATTAGGTACTTCTTCATCATCTCGAGTTAAATCATCTCTATCAAATTCAAAGTTTTGATTAAGTCCAGATGCTTCTAAAACCATTGTGCGATATGGATTTGGTGGTGTTTGAACACTTTGTTCATTTTCTTGTTCGTTTTCTATAGGGGTAGAAGTTAGGGCTTCAAAATATACGTATTCCTCTCCATGCGATACCCACTGGTAATAATCATGGATGAAACCGTACTTATATAAGTGAGTCTTTACATCCTCTATACCAAGAAAACCAAGATTATCACACCTTGAACACGGACACCGTATTTTACCATTAGATACAAAAGTATCTTGCGATAATGCAAAAGATATAAATTCACCAACACCTCTTATAAACTCATCTGTTAATCCTTTTCGACTTTTCACGAGTCTATTATACATCCAAGTACGATCACTTCTAATAGAACTCATTATTTCTACATTCAAAAAACGAAGTTGATGAATTACACATAAGAGAAAAAATGTACAAATACTTTTACGTTATTTTCTATACAAAATAACGGGAAAAAAACTATACAAATCACCTAAGAGAAAAGATTAAAAATGGATCGGAGGATAAGAACTTTATTCTTTTTAAAGGGATAAACAAGTTGTGTATGTGGTGAAGAAAGAGAGAGTTATGATTAAAATAAAAAATAATTAAAACTGAAAATAAAACCACGTGGCAGCAGAAGGGTGACCCGGTGATAAACACCATGTGTAGCATCGAGGCTGCCCCCACGAACTGCTGATTGTTTAATAGGTAAAGGTTCTTGTTTCTTTAAATAATTTCATCAAAATGATACACAATACTTTGCAAAAAATCAATTATACCGGAGATCCTATCGTCCTATTTTGTTATATTTCTACCGAATATACTAATATAAACACTAGAGAATTTGTATCAACGTTAAATAAACAATTTCTCTTGTGAACAGTGCCACAAATTATTGTCAGCATATAATCAGCAATATCCCAAAAATTATACACATAATCCAATTAGTAGTGAAAGATAAGGGTTCCCCTAATATTTAATTATGAGTAATTCTACATAATCGAAATTCCCGTAAGTTCTTGTGCTAAATTTACTCTTTTAACTACATAATGTCCCCAAAGTCTTCAATCAATATACACCGAGAGAGACGAGAGACAATTAATTTAAGAAAATCAATAACATTAAAGGTAGAAGTTTACCTGATTTTGGACCTCGCTTTGAGAAGTACGTTCGCGGGAGGGGAAGTTGAAAGAGAACTCGCCGACGTGGAATGTTTGACGCCCGTCTGAGTTGAGAAACAGTAGCAGATTTTTTTTCACCTGAAAACTGGTGTATACTCGAAATTAGAAATTATGGATTTTATCTTGTTTCTTTAAATAATTTCATCAAAACGATACACAATACTTTGCAAAAATTCAATTATACCGGAGATCCTATCGTCTTATTTTATTATATTTCTACTGAATATACTAATATAAACACTAGAGAATTTGTATTAATGTTAAATAAACAATTGCTCTTGTGAACAGTGCCAAAAATTGTCAGCATATAATCAATCCCAAAAATTATACACATAATCCAATTAGTTCGTAGTGAAAGATAAGGGTTCCCCTGATATTTATAAATTTTGAGTAATTCTACATAATCGAAATTCCCGTAAGTTTTTGTGCTGCATAAATGAGAAACATTCAATATGAACCAAAAACATAAGGTTGAAGTTATTAATATATAATCACAGTTTAGTAAACAATAAACTAACATCTGTAATAAACAAAAGCGAACATCAAAGAACTGTGGAGTTTATTAATATATTATTGTTAATTTGGTCACAAAATCCAAAAATCGCAAACCCTCTGCTGCCACTATTCTTAAGCGCATAAGAAAACAAATTTCATTGCAATAATTCAAACTAATTTTTTGCTTACCAGCACAAACTAAATAAAAAAATTCCCAAAAAGATTACAGGGCCAAAAAAAAAATCGTCAAAAAATTTTAGATATTAAATTTTCAGCTATACGCATATTAAATTTTTTTTATATATTAAAATTAGGGGTGGCAATTTGGATCCGGTTCCATGGATCCGATTAGATCCGGTTTGGTTCATAAGGATCCGATTTAGATTAAGTTTAGTTGAAATAAATCGGATCCGATCCAGTTGATATTTTTTCAAAACTGGATCCACGTGGATCCACTTTGAATCCATTAAAGTTACCACAAATAAATATGACATGCACCCAAACCTTCAGTATATAAGGCGATTCTATGGATGGAGACAGGAAAAAAAAATAGAACGACTGGTTTTCCAGGGAAAGGAAAAAGCAGCCTGCAACAATTTATTTTAAAAAAAATCTTACAATTGATGTCATGAAGGTATTC